TTACAAAAATTAAAACTTTGTTAAGGATTAGATAATAATCCCCCTTAATCCCTAAAAAGAAATTACTCAGCCATACCTATTATTCTTCAATACTTGCAAATGTTGAAATAATTGAAACAAATACTTTTATTGATAGTAAGAAGAGATTAGAGAAATCTAAACTCAAGATTACAAGAGAGAATTAGAATTCAAAAAGGAAAGTGAGCATGTGTTGCCTTCTGAGTTTATAGGGCTTTATATAGAGTTGGCATTCCAACCCTGGTTACAAGTTTTACTCAACTATAGTTAATTAAAGATAAAACTTAACTACTAAGAAATAATGACTTTTGATAGATTTATAAGTAAAGTAATAATAATTACAGCTTTTCTTTGAAGTCAAAATATTCTTTTGTCTCTGTCAGCCATCTTCTTGTCTTTGTCATCTTTTTTCGGCTACTTTAGGAGATTTCTTTGTCTGCCACTTACTTTTCTTCAAGAGTCAGCAACTACTTTTGCCTTGTCATCTACTTTTCTACTATCTTTTACTTGTCAGCAAGCTAATCCAGAATATTCATATTGATAGAAGGGTCTTCATAGTCCTTGTCAGCTTGTCTTCTTTCTTCACAATACTTGCATTTGTGGATTGTATATTCAGATAATATTTGACATATTTTCTTTTTTGTCCCTTCATCATTATCCATTAAATTATTCCTTAATCTTTCATACCAATTACTGAAGCTTCTTGAATTTCTACTATTTTTTCCTACTGAGAAAATACATGTTGTTGGGCCAATGAAGTATGTCCACTAAGCTTCATCTGCAGTAGTTGTCCTATTGAGTTCTTGAAAAATAATGTTTACTTCTTGTGCTCTGATAGTGGAGATCTTATATCTGAGGTCTTCATCATTCATAATGTCTTCTTTTTCTTCTTGGTCATATTCAAATGGTCATCTTGTTGGTCCAAATTTAATCAGATTTATTGGAGGATAAAATTTATCAAGAGTTATTTCAGCTATTGTTAAGTAACACCGGATAAAAACTTGATATTGAGTTACAATTCCAAAATAATGTTTGGCAGCTTCTTTGATGGAATCTGGGAGTTTTGATATTTCGGACATGTTATTAGATGGATATATAGAGTGAATAAGGCCATAATTGAAAAGGCTTTTTACAAGTTCAGGATTAGTGTTTGGATAAACAATGACTTTATTGAAGGAATAATGGGAAACATATTTAATATTATTAGTGTTAGGAAGAAGGAAATGATTGGTCTTATTGATCAAAAGTTTAAAAAAATTATATTAGTCTAAGGTTTTAAAAGATGGTAAGGTTACTGGGCTTGGACTTCTACTTCTTCTCCTTGAAGAGGTAGAAGTAGATGGACTATTTTAAGTTATTTTAGTCACTATTTGGGCTTTAGATTTTTGGACTTCTTTTACTATTTCAGTGAATGGAGCTATTAGACCAGATCTAGTTGGGCTATAAGGTTGGAATAAAGAATCAAGAGTTTGAGTAGATGACTCAACTACTTGTTTTACTTGTCTTTCAGGGGATTGGGATAATGGTTCCTTAGATTTCTCTAAGGCCTCCACTTTACTTGTCAAAACATTCACCTCGTCTCTGAGATGAGCCACTGTTCTAGATAATGATTGTATACTTGTATTTAGTTGTCCAGCAAGAAGGCTCATATTCATCTCTAGAATATTTACCTTCATAATTACTTGGTCTAGTAGGGTCATTATTGGTCCTGTTGGTGAACCACCACTAGCATTATTTGTCATCATACTTGTCTCTCTTTTATTTGGCTCCATCTGGATAGATAATCAGCAACAAGATTATTCTTACCTTTAATATATTCAATTTCATAATCATAATAAGACATATCTAATTGCCACTTAATTAACATCTTATTACATAATTGAGTTGTCTTTATTCCTTTATTTAACCAATGTTTTACTTGAGTATTATCAGTTCTTATAATAAATTTGATGTTAACAATAAATAATTCAAACTTTTGTACAGCTTTAACTATTGCTAAAAATTCTTTCCAATTAGAATGATATCTAGTATGAGAATCATTAAATTTTTCACTTGTATATCTAGTTATTACTTTTTCTTTTTCATTGATGTGATATAAAGCTACTCCCCAATAATTTTCACCAACATTTGTATAAATTATCCATATTACATCATTATTTATTGGGATAGTTAATTTAGGTCGATTTTGGCATAAAATTTTTATCTGATTCACTATTTTTTAGTTTTAAATTTAATTTTATATGATAGACTAAATTTCATAACTAACATGATATGAGAGAATATCATGTTAGTTTTATAATTTAAATTTATAATATAAATTCAAATTAGATATGATATCATGGATTAAATTTATGAAATAAATTTAATTAAATTTTCGTGGGCTCTTTAAGTAGAAGACGAAAACCCTAATCCATATACTATATATAGATAGGGACGTCCTTTATGAAGAGATAGTTAGAAAAGTTCTGATAGCAAAAACACTTTGAGAGCCACGAAACACCCTATAGAAAGGAAAACTAATGTTCAAAGAAGAATGGACACTGGGAGAGCTAGCACGCTGTTCGAGTTAGAGAGTTGTTCGTGTGGATACCAGTAGAGGGAGGAGATATATGTTGTTAGCTCTTGAGATCCAAACTTTTAAAGAGAACACGCACTAAGTTTGAAGAATTAAAAAGGTAACTCTTCTATTTACCTTGACTTAAACAAGTTTGTTCAGTCCATAGCAGGATAGGTACTTAAAATTTTAATATTTCACTGTGACTCCCTTTCCTACAATGATGCCCCTTAACTTGAAAATTATGGTTCCTTCTCTTACCATTCTTTTGCATGCTATCCCACCATCATATAGGAATCCCTCGAAAGCTATCACAGTGTTCCTACCCATGTGGAAGAAGCAATATATCTCACTCTCTTACACACAAATCATATTACTTTACAAGATAATAAAAATGAAAACCACAAGCTTTACATATGAGAGAAATGCATTAAAACCAATAGAGTGACGAACTAATGTCATGTGCTTTTTAAGTTTAGTGCGTGTGTTGTGGGTCATGGTTGGCAATAAGGTAGTGAAGGTTACAATAAAAAATAAAATCATAACACCATCATATTATCCCAAAGCCACTCTCTATTAATGCTTCTGCACTTTCTCTTGTAAATACCTCTTGTAATTTTTAAAGAATCAAACTTCAAAGGAAGCCCTATTTCGTAGGTTAAAGATAGTATCTTAGGAATACTTAAAGCTAGATGGATGTTGTAGGACAAACAAAGAGTTAGTAGAACCACATTTGCATTGAACAAATGCTCCCCTACTTTCAAAAGCACTAACAGAGCATCCATCAATCCTATGTAAAGTAGGTCAAGCCAAACATCAAGTCCATACAAAAAACATTCTTCAACATCCTCAAAATAGGAAAACAATACCTAGTTGATTACAACTTCATCCACCGTGCTCTACCAAAGATGGTTGTCGGACTACCATTCTCAGGTATGCCTAAGATGTTGATATTCCAACATTCGAAAACCTCCACATCCTCTTCCTTTATTTATTACTTTTTTCCCACCATATTTGAGGGCCATTTTAGTTAGACAATGAATTATTAAATAAATAAAATAATAAGTTTTTCTTAAGGTGCAAGCCTTCTGGTTTCAGGTGCAAGTATTATGCGTAGTGGGATGGAAAGTTTGATTTACATGTAAACCTAAGGCATTTTCAGGTAATTATGCTCTTGGTGCAAGCCTTTTAGCTAGGGTGCAAGGGATCTAGGTTGGGTACAAGCCTTCTGGCTTAGGGCGTAAGGGTTCTGGTTTAGGTGTAAGCCTTCTGGCTTCGAGTGCAAGGGCTATATGTATTGTGCTACCAATATTTGTTTACATGTAAACATAAGGTGTTTTCATGTAATTTTGCTCTTGGTGCAAACCTTTTGCTGAGATACAAGGGATCTAGGTTAGGTGCAAGCCTTCTGGCTTAGGGTGCAAGCCTTTTAGCTTCGAGTGTAAGGGCCATGTGTATTATGCTACTAACATTTGTTTACATGTAAACATAAGGCAGTTTCATGTAATTTTGCTCTTGCTGCAAGGCTTCTCACTTAGAGTGCAAGCCTTATGGCTTTAGGTGCAAGGACCATGTGTAGTATGCTACCAACATTCATTTACATGTAAACATAAGGCATTTTCATGTAATTGTGCTATTAGTGCAAACCTTCTGGCTTAGGGTGTAATGATACAAGCTTAGGGTGCAAGGCTTCTAGCTTCAGGTGTAAGGGTCATGTGCAGTGTGCTGCCAACATTCGTTTACATGTAAACATAAGGCAATTTCATGTAATTTTACTCTTAATGCAAGCCTTCTGGCTTAGGGTACAATGATTTTGGCTTAGGGTGCAAGGCTTCTCGCTTAAGGTGCAAGGGTTTTGCCTTGTGTTATACCAATGAGTTTTATATATAATCTATAGTCATTTTTATGTAATTCTTGGCAACTGATAGTAGCTACCTTTTTATGTGACGGGTTTACATGTAATTCGATAGAGATTACATGTAAATTGTTATTCAGTGGTACTCATGATTTTTCCCCCATTATTTATTTATATGTAATATGTATTTATTTTTATGTAATTATTGGTGACTGACAAGGGCTGCCATTCTGTGTGATGAGTTTACATGTCATTCGATATAAATTACATGTAAATAGATCCTCAGCCATCCTCGCAAATTTTTCCCCTTCTTTATTTACATGGAATTACTTGTGTTTTTGTGTAATTACAAGGACACTCACACCCTATCATTGTGAAAAGTACAAACCAAGAAAAATTAGATGAACTTCTGGTATAGTTACAAGGATTAGGATTACAATGATGTCTCAATTATGCAAAAAGAGACTGGGCCACCATTTTTATGCAACAAGCTGCTGCTACTATTACAATGAATAGCTTCTTAAGGAAGAAAAATTGATTGACACTATAACAAAAGCAAAACACAACTTAAACTGTATAAATTTAATAGCAAACATTGAGGCCAAGTTATACATTACCATGTAGAACACTATTTTTATACATCAGCTAGCATTTTCTGATTTCTATTAATCATATCAATTAAGGTTCTTTTTCCTCCTTGTACAAATATTAAGACATTGAATGCTATCTCTCTAATTCAAGTTTGGACTTCTTCAGAGCTATCTTTGTTGCAAGTTGCTTCACTTGTATCTCTTACTTGTATCTCTTGACTGAGTGTTCTTGCAATGCCTACTTTCTCTACTACAATCTTTAAGCCTTCTTCAAGCTCTATCATTCTTGCATTGATCTCACCAAGATGAGTCTCCATCTCACAAGAGGTTTGTTGGGATTCTACTCCTTAAAGCATCTTCTTGAGTCAAGACACGTCCTCTTAAAGGGATTTACTACGTTGTTGAGATGCTTCAAGCAAAGTCTTGGTCTTCACAAAGTTTTCGTGGATGCCACAAAGTATCAGCTTCTCCTTTTATTAATGCTGATTGTGCTCTTCAAGAGAAAGGTCGTTTAGAGTAGAATTTTGCACTTCAGCTAAGGAAGATGAAGAAATGGTGAGCTCGCAAAAAAGTCTTTATACTCAACTGGTCAAATTTTCAACGGATCAAAGGTATTATCTGTAATTTGGTTTTATTTACATGTGAACAATACAATCTAGTTTGCCTTTGTGCTTAAGATATTAGTAGCTTTCTTTCACTAGTAAGTGATACATTGGTGCTAACAGCATTTTTAAAATCCTCACAAAGGCAACTAGTTGAAAGTGTCACAGTTGCTAATTACAAGCTGATTACATTCATCAAAAAAACCAATATGATTAACTTCTTTGTAGGAGTGATGATCGCATTAAAAGATGGCAAAATAAATCCAAATGAAAGAGGGCATGAACTCATAAGAAAAACTGAGTAGATCATACTTACAAAAAAAACACTTAGGTAGGGGATGTTTTAAGTTTAGAGTTAGATAGAAGAATATAAGCATACCTAACCAACCTATTAGACAAGGCATCCTCCCACACAGGTGGTAATTGCAAGTTACATGGTCTTGTTTGAAAGCATTTTCTTTTAATCAGGTAGAAGCAATGATCATAAAGATATTGTGCATTAGATTGGGCAACTAATGGAAATCATTCATGTAGCTTAACCCTCCAATTAGGCAAGCAAAGAAATAGTGACGCTCATTTTCACCACTGGTGTATTTCACTTAGGCCACTATTTGCTCCACCGTCGGAACTCTCGATAACCTTAAAACTTGTCTAATTAGGGCATTGTGTGAAGAGATGGGACTGTGTTTCTCAAAGCTCATCGATCATGACTTGCTCACAGCTCACACCACTATTGATGGTCCCTTAAAAACGTCCCTGGCCATCTTCTCCTGTTCAACTCGCATAAAAAAACCAAGCATAGAGTGGTCTTTGTTTACAAATTCGTTTGTTATGATAGGGCCATTTTCATCCTACCAGGGTTTATTAAAAGAATAAGAAAATCAGCTTGGTCCTTCAACAGAATTTGGTCCTTGGGACCAATTTTGGTTGCAAGTTAGTCCTTTTCACCAATTCTCCTTAAAAAATAATCAAATGTTTAAATTACTCTTGGTTCCAATAAAACATCAGGTAAAAAATATTCGAGTTATATGTCAGATTTTAAATGAAGTTTATAATGTACCACAAGTTTCCCAACACATGTAATTTTTCAATTTTTGAAATGAACCACAAACCCATGTCTGCCAGCATTAACTATAACTGAACACAAGAGAAGCATGAAGAGCTGAAGAGCATAAGATGAAGTAACAAAAAACACGAGCTAAATGGGTATTATTTAAGCTAAGAACAAAAGATTTACAAGCATTTTTCAAAATGTATTTTACTAAAATCTCATTAAATTTTATAATAAAAGCCTTGTATTAATTAAGTATTAATAAGTAGAATTTTATAAATAATACTAATAAAAGAAGTAATTAAAAAAAATAAATTACAAGAATTTAATTTAAAATTGAAAAGAACTTGAAGAAGATGCAGATTAATTTTCCGTTATTTGAATATCACATCTTTCTCTTTGCATGCTTTGAAAAGAGAGCAAATCATTTCTAGTTTAGATCCATGAATTTCTATGAAATTTTTTAAATATTTTTTTATTTTACTATCTTTTAATAAAATACAAGATCTTCTCTCTTTCTCTTAAAAAAATCAAATTTCAAAATATTCACCTATTCTTAATTTCAATCCTGTCACGCCCTAAAATTTTAAACATAACTAGTATGAAATATATGTACAAACATGCATCTCTTAAGGCTCGATCAAAGAAACTCTAATTTGATATTTTAATTCGATTGAAATAGGATGTGATTCATTGCAATATATATATATATATATATATATTTTATAAAAGATTTCTAAACTTTTTGTAAATACTTCAGCAAAACCGCCTCTCTCAATAAATTCTCCCAAAAATAAATTTATAACCATTTTACAAAACATTAGCAGTAGCAAGGAACTCTGTTCTCACCAGTAGATAACAAAATACAAACGATAAGGGCGAGGACCCTAACTACAGCTTATGTGGAGCACCTAATATAAGAATTTGAATATAATACATAAATTTAAATTTGCATTGAAATTGATTTGATCTACCATTCTTCCTTTCAATAGAATAATATGGCCCCATAAGGATCAGCGGAAGATACAGCATCAACTAACATATCTGAGACCAAAATAATAATTTCTAGTGAATAACGTCCCAACCATAAAATTTTTCACAATTAAAATGAACAAAATATAATAATTACATAAATTGAAGAGAAAGCAATTTGAAGTAAGCAAATTTGTAAGCATGGAATAAAAGTTCTATATAACTTCAACATCAAGAATCTTTAAATCTATAGCAATAAAGCAACTTGACATTGGATCTTGACATGTCCAAATAATTAAATAAATATATAATCGAAAATAATAACATTTGCTTAAAAAAAACATTAGAGTGTGAAATCATCAATTAATTACAAATTCGTATTTCTGAAAATTTATCAGAACAATTCACAAACGTGAACACACAGTTCACGAGAGTAAATAACCAAATGCGGGTTATGCCATAAAGACAAACGTGGACACACAGTCCACGAGAGTAAGTAACCAAACACAGCCGAAGCCACGAAACAAACGTGGACACACAGTTCACTAGGATAATGTTAACCAAACGCGGCTTGAAGCCATAAAAACAAACGTGAGTATGATGCTCACAAATAACCATCCCTCCGTTCCACGTGCATTGGCCATTGCTTACAAACATCCTGCTAGCTAGGTGCACCATGGTGCGCCAAGGGCTATCAGAACTGCCGTTAGCAACCAGTATTCTGTATAAAGCCCCCTCGAAATTCATTTTCAAACATGCGAGAAAATCATCACGTTCAAAATAAAATTTTCTCTTCTCAATATCAAACTCGCATGGATTGTTTAAAACATCAATCCTTTTAAATATAAAAATTCACAACTAATATTTCATAAACTTCTTCACCAATTTCTAAGATTGTCTTTATTGAATAAACGAGTGCCAAAAATTTATAAAGCATTTTTCACCAATCTTGTATGTATATATCATGAAAACTTTAAGAGCTAAAAAAATTTAATTGACAAAACATCCACTAATCAACATAATTATTATTAAAATAATCAATGTAACAAAATAAATTTTAGTAAGAAAAATTAATTGATAAATTAGTTGGGACGCTATCCACTTACCTAGTAAGCTCCCAAAATAATATTTTGTTCCATCTAATTACCTCTCAATAGTCCTTTTAGCTACACTATTGCCTAGACAAGAGGAACAAACAACTCTCTTAATGATGACTCTACTCTATATATATTGCCAACAGATATTCGATCAACCCAAACTATATATGCTTCTTATATATAAGACAGTTAGATCTCAAAAATACATATTCAAGCAAAATTCTTTCTAACAAGCATTTTATCAAACACTTCTAAGACATCAAGTCATAAACTAATATCAGCTTTTTCCTCGTCAATTTCCAACTCCCAAAATTTTACAATAAAGATTATTTGAATCCATCAACCTCCAAAATATATATACATATATCTACACCTTAATAGAAAATTAATCCCAAACACAAAGACATCCTAATTATTGTCTCTTCATTTCACACAGTTAAAGAAAAAGGAAAGAGTACATAATCTAGCCAATATCACACACACGAGAAACAGCAAGAGGGAAGAAAACTAGGAACTTCTATACCTCATATTACCAACCAAAGATAAAGAAAGGGAGGGAAATTCAAACTCACAATAAACAGGGGAAGGAAGACTTCATGTTATTGCAACAACAGGGATAGAAAAAAAAAACTAACAGCAACCTTTCAGTAACCAATCCATCAATAGATAAATACTTATCAAAAGCATACTTGTTAATGTTAATTTCAACCTATTTAAATTTCAATTTCCCCTTCCCAACCAACACGTACAGCAGCAGAGAGAGAGTAAGATTTTCATCTTCAGTGATCAGATCATACACCCACATGTACATAATCCACCAGAAGAGTTCAATATTTCTCACCTGAATCAACAACGACAAAGAAGGGAAGAAGCCGACAGAACAGACGGAACAGGGGAGACAAAACTCGTGACTCACACTACCAACAATAGAGAATCGCCCCCTGCACCCATTGTCGACGCACATCTGAAAAAAAAAAGGGGAGGAAGTTCGGACACACCCATGCAACACGGACACCGCAGCGACGGACAAGAACGCAGATGAATGGAGAAGGAGATCTGAACACACACACGCTACACAGAATAAAGGACCACGATCGACGTAGGCGTTTTCAATCAGAGAAGGAAGGAGCTTGAACAGTAGAACCCACGGCATCGACGACGGCAATGACCAATCGAGGTGTAGGAATGAGATTGTCGGCTCAATGAATTGAAGCTTCTGGAATCGATATATCTGGATCCGTTTCACAGTTCAGACGCGTATTCTCGGGGAAAGAGAGAAGGGAATAAAAAAACTTTTTTATGGTTGAAGGGCAGTAAAGTAATTTCATAAGCCTGAAATAAAAATGAACTTAAATACCAAACAAATTTTCACCAAGCCACTATATCACTCTTTTTATATCTTTCCCAAAATTAATAAAAATGTATTTTAATAGCTCATCTAAATTTTAATTTAATTACTATTATTTTATTTATTTTTATTATTTTATTATTGTTATTTTTATGAAATCTTAGGTCATTACAAATCCATTCCCTTTGGAAAAAATGTTAATACAAGCCAAAATCATGCTTAGCCAAAAATTTGAACTAGCTGATTGAACCTAGTCAAAGTCATCAACTTGCCTCTTTTTTTTTTCATTCAATACAACTACCCATTATTTATGTGTTAAGCTAGTAGGCCCACATTGACAGCAAAGCTCTACTAATAAATATTTAATAAAATTGCATATTCAAGACTCAAACTTAAAACTATTGGTTAAGCTAGTACAACCCCTTGTTAGTTGGGCTATGTGCTAGTTGGTTAAACTTGCATTTTTTGTTCATCCCCTATCTCAAGTTTTCCCTTTCCACATTTGTTTTCCTTAATTCATCATTACTCTAAAAATTTTATTTATATTTAAGCATCATTTTTGTTCTTGAATTATATAAGAAAAGTCACAAATGCTCATAAACTCAACTATAGGTCAATTCTATCCTTCAACTTTAAAGATTCCCTTCCTCATCACCCTTCTATTTTCTCACTGTTAGTTGATCGTTAGTGGGCCCCACATCATATTTTTTAATATAAAATATTTGATTTGAGCGACCCACTGATGACAAACGGATGTTAAGTGTTTTTAATGCTAGGGTAATAATAGAGGAAATCTTTAAAGTGAAGGGACAGAATTGAGCCATAGTTAAGTTTAAGGACATTTGTTACCTTTTGTGTGCTATTCAAGAATGAAAATGACCCTTAACCCTATTATATAATACGAGTACTCAGACTCTTGTATATCCAAATCTTTAATAGATTCCTTTACAAATTGTGGTGCTAGCAAGAGTTCCCCATTTACAACATCTTTTTTCTTCATAATTAACTGTTCAATCCAAAACTATATTATTTGTTCTGCCAAAAAAGAATTATATTTGGTTGGCTTACTAGAAATTTAAGGGAACACTTTTCAAGAATGTCATGTCTGCTTTCCTCAAAATAACTTGTAAAATAGGGACCGAATTGTGACATATTTGATCCTGAATGTAACTAATAATAAGAGTAGTGCACGTATCTTCTTATCAAATTTGCATTTCAATTTTATTCATTTGTTTATTTGAGTATTTAAAACTCTAATTATACAAGCATGAAAGAGCACCATGAGCTTAACTTTTGTACTTTGCAACTTGCTTAAAAGATATGCAATAGCTTTTGAATGTTTCGATGAAAATAAAAGAGAGAGAGAGAGAGAAATTGGACACTGAAAAAAATTGATATTGTTGTCCTCTATAATAATGGTGAAACTGATGAATGATGGCCTCAAAGAATGAATATTGATGACATAGTGGTCCATGCAAGGTATTGTAAACATACATCAGACTTTTCAACCATTGATGCTGCAGATATAACATTTATGGGGCCCTTATTGGATTGAACAGAATTGACATGCATTCATTGTAGTAGAAAGACTTGGAGTCTTCGTTAATGACAATGCATGAAGGGAAGAACCACAAACAATAGGCTGGTCTACATTGATTTATAAGTTCCATCTCGTACATCTATCACCCACTGGATCTTGATCCTTCTTCAACAATAATATCTTCATTCAAAGTCCCATCAAGCTTTGTCTTGTCTTCTTTGTTCAGCATTATCTCCATCAAAGACTCAAGGCCCAACATCACATCTCCCATTGATGGCCGTTCATTCCCATTATTATCTACGCATTTCAATGCAATATTTGTGTATGCCTTTAAGCACTCTGGCATCATGCTTTCCCTCAAGAATGGATCAACTGTGTCATAAATCTGATTCTGATCAACACATCTTCGAAACCACTCTACAAGGTTTTGCTGCTCCCTCTCCACTGCACGGAGAATAGGAGCCCTCCCACACAATGCCTCTAGCAAAAGCACTCCGAATGAGTACACATCTGACTTATCAGTCAATACTTGCAATGTGTAGTATTCTGGATCCAAATAACCAATGTTTCCTTTCACCAATGTGCTTATGTTAATGTTAGATCTTGAAATACCCGAGGGTCTTATTTTGGATAGTCCAAAATCAAAAATCTTGGCCGTCCAGTTTTCATCTATTAAGATGTTTGTTGACTTGACATCACGATGAATGATTGCATACTTTGCCCTGTATGTAAATAATGCAATCCTCATGCAGCACCCAAGCAAATCTCGACTCGTTGTGTCCAAGAAAGTGGCTGGTTATTAGAATCATAAAGATGCTCACGAAAGGTCCCACGAGCCATGAACTCATAGACCAGAATCATCTCATTGTCATCGTTGCAGTAACCAATGAGAGATACCAAATGATGGTGATGAAGTTGTGAGAGCAATTCAATCTCAGTTTGGAACTCTTTGAGCCCTTTTTGTGAACCTTGTTTGAGCCGCTTGATTGCCACTGAAATTGCGCCGTTGTCAATGTGGCCTTTATAGACATTACCAAACCCTCCAACACCAATAATCATATTATCATCAAATTTATTAGTGGCTAATCTTACCTCATCTAGTGAAAAGCAGCGACAGAAGTCAGACATCAACTGTGAGGATTTGTTTACTTTTGTTGTCGACACTAGTTCCTGTCTCCCCTGTGAATTTCCTTCATTGATTGCACCTCTAGCCAATAATCGATAGTAAATGAATAAAATAATGAGAGATAGAAAAATGAAGCCGGATGCTCCCCCCACAGAAATAGAAATTACCCTCTTTTTCAGTGGTTTCTTAGACGCCTTCGTAGGCAGAAAGGGAGAAGGATGTTGATCAGAATTTGGACCTCCGAGATTGTTTTTGTCGTCACTTATTTTCAAAATTTCAATACCATTCAATAACACATCTCTGTAAATGCTTCTTGCAGTAATTGGATGTGGTTGCAACTTAATTGAAAGATTCATTTTCTTAGAAATTCCGTCGCCTTGCATCGACACCGCGTAGTCCTTATGTACAGGAGCCAGGTTGCCTCTCCACATGAACACGTCAGCGACAGCGTCCACCAGCATGTCAGCAATAAAGATCTGGAAAACTCTCTCCAACATTTCGAATGTGTAGGTCAAACTCACAAAAATGCAATCTCACCATGTATATAAATTGTGAGTCCACTGGAAACTCCCAAGTCACATTAAATTTGGCCGTCTCTTTCATTCCATAGTTTCGAGCAGTTCTGTATATTTCATCCGGTGCAGTATAATTTGGATAATCTTTGTGGTCAAGCTTTAATCCAAATGCTGCAGATATACTATATGGGCGCTCCCTCTCCAAGTATCAAGTATCAAGGTCCCAACTCCGAAACATGCCATTATCTTGGTCATGCTCAATTTTACGCCCACCAACGTTGATTCTGTACAGAGTCTCGAGAGAACTATTGTTTTTGACAGGAAACTGGATGGTTCGACCATCTAGCATCATAGCCTGTAGGTTGTCAGGGTTGGTGTAGTAAAGATTGGAAGGCATAGAGACGACCTCGATCCCATTGACGAAAGCATAAGCATTGGGATGAGATAGGTTGGGTATGAATGTTATGCTAAGCCACTCATCGGGGCCAACAACATTAACGCAATACTCTCGTACAATGCCTTCGTCGCCATAGTAATCGGCGGTGATTGAAGCATTGAAGTCCTTGAGAAGAGTGTGGGAGCCTACTATGACGGAGAAAAGAGAGTCAGTGCGAAGGAAGTTGGAAGCATAGGAATGTGGGTAAAAATAAAGGCGAATAAACTTTTGGCCGTCGGTGTTCACAGGAAACCGGTAGAAAATTACGGAGCGAGAGAGGCGTGCAGTGTTGTAAGGGAGAGGGACTGAAACGGACTGAAACGGACAACAGAACTAATACACGAGAGTTACAGAATTGAAGCCAAACATGTTCCGTTACCCTTCATTAAGCCAATAAAACGTTTAGTATTTACATTTGTAACGTTAGCTGATTACTGTTTTCGTTCAGAGTCCTAACACTATAAATAGGACACTCACTTTGTTGTAAGGAGGCAGACGAGAAATAAAATTCAGAGTTTTTTTCTCTTTTCATTCGGTTTCTGTGCCATTTTTGGTATCAGAGCTGGTCCAGAGAACGAGAGAGTGAGTTACAATTGAGAAAGTACGCCGGAAAGAAGAGAGATTCAGAGGAGGAGTCCCTGACGTCTTCGCGTTTTACAAACCGGGCATTTTCTCAGAAAACTAACATCACCATCGTGCTCAGGAGGTCCGAAAACGTGGAACAAGAGGTTCCCCGTCACCAGAAACAGTCGCACGCGCCTCCACGCGCCACCGTCAGAAACCCACGCGCCTCGCCGCCGGTCCACGCGCCGTCACGCGCTATCCGAAGGTTGAAGACGCTGACGTCAGCTGCCACGTCATCGTTCTGACCGGTCAACTACAGGTCAGACGAATAGTTTTATGCCACGTGTCACAGTCGCCACGTCACTGCGCCCAGTCAGGCAACTTTTCAGAAATTTCATTTTCGCCCCAAATCTTTCAGTAATTCTAAATTTACCCCTATTTTTTATGAAATTTCAAATTTTCCCCCAAATTGTTCAGAAATTCCATTTTAACCCCTAAACTTTCCTAAAATTACACTTTTGCCCCTTGATTTTACCTGAATTCCAGTTTAACCCCTATATTTTTCATAAATTTCAATTTGACCCATCATTCTTCTAGAATCGCTATTTTACCCCCTAGACAGTCCAAAATCCCCATTTTGCCCCTAGCCTTTAAAAAAAAATTCACTTTACCCCTATATCCTTCAACGTTTCCAATCGCACCCCAATCTTTATCCCTAGCCTTGACACTTATTCAAAATGCCTCCAAGACGTAAACATGTGCACGAGGTTGAGATGAAA